GTCACTAAAGGTAAAAAGGGCCTAGAGGGGCAGATCTCAGGTCAGAGATTAAGAATGGTTGCAAAAGCAAACTGCTTGGTATTGACTCTTGGCAAAGACTGACATCCTATGTTTTTGCCCACTGTGTGTGTGTGTGTGTGTGTGTGTGTGTACTTTTTTGCTGTTCAATTGAATAAGCCTTTTCTGATATGTTTACGTTAACCAAATGACGAGACGGCAAAATGAGCTTTTGCACAGCAACGCCTAATACAACAGAGACAGGCTGCTCTTAGGCCACAGTGTGCATGTGTGAACATATGTTTTCAATTCACTTTAGGCCATATTATTCATAGACTACTCATCCAAGGATAGATAATATATGGCCATACATTTAAGAGCTGTTGAATAGGATGTTTGCATATTTTGTATTTTTCACTTATAGTGCCATATTTGTCATACTGTGTTGAGGTATGGGGGAATGTATATAAAAAAAAATACAGACCCAATCATTGAATTACAGAAAAAAGCTATCAGAATAATAAATAAAGCCAGTTACCTTGAATCAACCAATCACTTGTTAATTAAGTCTAATACATTAAAATTTGTAGACATGGTGTCTATGGCGCGCGGGAGAATCTCATCGCCACAGTGTGACTGGGTAAGAAGTGAATACACAGTTCAATGAGCCAGACGCTCGAGGACGAGCCGGTCCAGCCGCTCGTTGATCCCCGCGATCCCCCTGATAATTTCTTCCTGCGATTGCAGGACCGCCTCCGTGAGGACCCTTCCACTGCGTCCGGGTGGTCCAGCGGAAGCGCCGCGGCTGGTGGACACTCCACCGCTTGTCGGCGCGCTGGTGCTGATGCTGGTGCCGGGGGCCGGGCTGGCCCGAATGCCGCTGGTCCTGGCCGACGACTCCGAGCCGGCAGACGGGCTGCCGCGGGCCGGGGTTCCGCAAGCCGGCGACACGGCCGACACATTGATTTCTGTGACACAATAAAAATATTGGTTCATTTCAATTCCTGCTTCTGTGTATCTGTTGCGTTTACATCTCTCTCCACGGTATCAAAGGTAATGTAATCCAGTATTTAGAGGTCAGTTATGCACATTACAGTTGTTTATTGCATAAAAAGTTATCGGAAAATGAAGTTAAGGGCTAAGTATAAATCATGTCTAAAAATAGACTGAATCCCGACGTTGAAATGAAGTATAAACTTAGACTAGACGTCTAATATACGTCTTTTGCTCAGTGGGATGGCAAAGCATGTGGACATTTGTGTGACACGCCACTTACCCTATAATAATAATCGCCACCACCCGCTGCTCAAACGGTGTGAGGGTCTCCTCCCCCGGACCCCCGCCTGTCTGGCCAGTACTCCTCCGGAGGGCAGCTGTACGCCGCTTGACCTCCACCTTGAGGTCCGACCACTTTTTTTAAATCTTCGCGGGGGTGCGTGTCTCGGAACCCACCGCGTTCACCCTCTCGCAAACTTTCTCCCACTCCAAGCGTTTTTGTTTTGCACTGACGCCACTGGACGGGCTGCCAAACAAAACACACTGTCGCTCCTCCACCTCCGCCACCAGAACCTCCACCTCGCACGCTGTAAATTTAGTTTTTCGTGTCATTTTGTCTATGCATATTTATAGGAGGGCGTAACGGGGACGGGCCCAGTCACTCCGACATCTGCGCTCAATTCCACGCTGATTGGGATTTATCAAGGAAACACACGTGGATTTCGCCGCCCGCACACATTGATACATACGGATTTTTTTCACCGTGACGGACCTTGCGTGCGCTCGTTTCTGGTATGAGTTCCACGCAAGTGTTGATACATGAGGCCCCTGGACCCCTGAAGAGCCACTCCCGAAGCTGTATCCCTCTTGTCCTACCAGTACCTATTAGCTGCCTCCAGAGTCCCACAGGCCAAAAAGGCCAGATAGGACTCCTTCTTCAGCTTGACGGCATTCCTCACCACTGGTGTCCAACAACATCGTTGAACATCGCGTTTGTTATGGACAGTCTGTGACTAGCACAGAAATCCAATAACAAAGCACCACTTTTGTTAAGATCAGGGGGCCATTCCTCCAGGTCTCAATTTTACTCCCAACATGGACGTTGAAGTCCCCTAGCAGAACAAGGCAGTTCTCCAACAGAGCAATCTCCAACACCCATTCTAAGGCCTCAAAGAAGGGTGGCTTCAGTGCAATTATTCTGTAGCTATATCTAAGACAGATATGTTGTGAGATAAGTCATACCCAAACCTCGTTTTTGAGTCTCTACTGAGCTTTCATTAAAAAAAAGTCTCATCACAAATCACGTTGGCTGTGGGTAAGCTATATTATATTTTTATAACAATAGTTTGTGAGATAATTATTTTTGTATAATCACCCTCTCCTTTCTGACCCTGTTAATGTTTTATGGTTCTATTTGTAGACCAGCTGTTTTACTGTACATGTGTAAAAAAAGCACCCAATTTTAATGTACCAAGACTGCAATAAGACCAACCCACAAAACCTATTTTTCACAGAAAAGCACCCCCAAAAGTAAGCACATCATTTCAATATTGATTAATATCAAGTTGAAAGATAAGACAAGATATGTTAAGATTCAATGAGAGAGGTTTCCTCGAAAAAATATGTGGCTATGTCATGATCTGTGCTTGTGAATCCACTTCCTGTTTTATTTTGAAGATCCTGTTTTCCCTGTGTTGCTGTTACCTTTACTTCCGGTCTTTGTTCTTTTTCCCGCCTTAGTTAATTACTCCATTGGCTTCACCTGTGTCTTGTCCCTTTCTCTATTTAACCCCTCCTCACTAGCTCTTCCCTGCCATATTGGCTGTGTCTCATTTCAGAGACCGCATCGTGATAAGCGCACTTAACAGCGCTTAGCTGAGTGCACTGCCGTTTAGAGCCGTTTAGAGCCGTTTTGAGCCGTTTTGCGCCGTTCTGTGCCCTTCCTGTGTCCTTCCTGTGTCCCATTTCAGATACAGCAGCCATCGAACGGCGCATCTGACGCGTACGTGAGGTCACCACGCGGCACGAACGGTGTCCCGTTTGGCACAAAATACTAAGCGCGCTTCAAATTCGGTCTCAAAACCACACTACCCCCGCCTCTTTTTCAAGCGTGCATTTATGCACGCTTTCGTGCCGTCGGTATCCCAGAATTCTTTGCGTGCCGCTGCACAGCTGTGCATTTCAGGTGAGAGGCTGGACTCGCTTGGAGACACAGCGCGTCTTCGAAGAAAATACAAGCAATCCAAAAACAGCAGACAGTCAGCTCAGGCTGTATGAGAGCATGATCTCTGAACTCACTAAAATCTGTAAACCAAACATTAAAGATTTAGAGACGAACTGATCCGCTCTGCTACAACTATCAAAAACATTAGAAATAAGAAAGCTGACAAAACTACAGCAGAGTATCAGGACAACATTGAGGTTTTTTTTTTCTTTTAAGATTTAGATATTAAAGTTGTAAATTTAGGAGAATAAACTCGTAAAGTATATAAAGTCATAAAGCTGCTTTTGTGGAGGGGGAAATGACTGAAGCTGGTCATCTGCAGCGTTATCTGTGGATGTATCAGCGGGTCATTAAGAGAGATTTTGTGGTTTCTGAAGAAACAATCAAACTGATGATGATCAACATTTGTGATCCAGAGGGAGTCGAGCTCCGACGAGCACCACGTCTCTGACACCGGCGGTAGCCTACACCTGCAGAGACACCAACACCTTATTACTGCATCAATGTCAATGTCAAGCTCAATGTCATTCACAGATATTAACGGCTGCATTGACAGATATATCCTCAGCATATTCATTTCTGCCTCCACAAAAGCAGCGATTTCCTTCAAGTACACCAATTTTTTTCCCCGTGGAAAAGACGTATTTCTCATATATTCTTTTTAAAGTCTTTATACTTATGACAATGTGATGCTGATGTGCCAGAGGATGAAGAATCTCCTTGTTTGTGAAACCTATACTGAAGCACAGTTCCTTCAAATGCTTCATGGTCCTAATTTTAACAAAGTCTCATCTGAAATAACAGGAAACTTTAATACTTTATTTTCATAAATTAATGACTTGATTCTCGTAAATTCACGACTTAAATCTCGAAGTCCTTAAAGTCTTAAATCTCAATATGGCCCTCATACTCCTTCATACAAAACAATCATTGGATGAATTGTGCTTGTATGTATCTACTATTTTGTGTCTGTGCAAGGTCGCACAATTAAAACAATAAATGCTGCGCTCCGCGAGTTTCCTTTAAGTCAGTCGTGACGCGAGCCTGAGGGCGGGGACATTTGGCAACTCCACCAGGTAGTCCTCCGAAGGTCTCCAAATGTCCCCGCCCTCAGGCTTACGTCACGACTGATTAGAAAAAAAGCTGCGGAGCGCAGCATGTATTGTTTTAATTGTGCGACCTTGCACAGACACAAAATAGTAGATACATACAAGCCCAGATCATTCCCACAAAATTCATCCAATGATTCTCATAAATTCACGACTTAAATCTCGAAGTCTTAAAAAAACATTCTCAATATGGCCCTCATAGTCCTTCATACAAAACAATCATTGGATGAATTTTGTGGGAATGATCTGTGCTTGTATGTATCTACTATTTTGTGTCTGTGCAAGGTCGCACAATTAAAAAAAAAATGCTGCACTCCGCGGCTCTTTCAAGTCAGTCGTGACGCGAGCCTGACGGACCATCTCACCCCTCTGATTGGGTCGCCAAATGTCCCCGCCCGCAGGCCCAGGTCACGGCTGACTTGAATAAAAGCCGCCGATCGCAGCAGGTGCAGGTGTAAACAAGCACAGGTGACAAAAATGGAGATCGCATTGTGGCAAATGGCTTTTGCTTCAAATGAAGACTTGACGCTGCGCCGCCGAGCAAGGCGGCGACGGAGGTGCCTTATGTACTTTTTATTGAGAAGGCGTGCCGAAAGTGGAGAGGTAAACCTGTTATTTTATCTGGCATTCATCAGCCACACGATAGTTGTGCCATTGTCACTCCCTGTGTATCACGTGAATTCCCCCTTTAATTCACAACAGTACATGTCATGGAAATCTTCATAGGTGTCAAAAAATAGTATTTCGTTTACTAACATCAGCTGAAAAGCCAACATTGGCTGTTAGTACATGAGACATTAACCTGCACAATTCACAATCATTGCAAGCGACATCCATGCCATGACCGTTCTTTCTCCTGCTTTGTTCCTAACGCATGCAGACCGGACCCCTGAACTGCAGGCTACACACGGGGGTTCCGGTCCTCCAACGGTTTTTCGCCGGCGACGACACCAGGGAGGACTTCAGGCTGAGCCGAGAGTCCCTGGCAGTGCTGCTGGACCTCCTCCATCAGGACCGGAGGCATGGATGGGGCGCCACAATAGAGACTTTGGTTCTCCTCTTTTGGCTGGCCAGTGGGACATCATACCGGGTGGTCTCAAGGGTGTTTGGGATGCCCCGCTCCACTGTCCACCGCATCGTCCACCGAGTTACGGAGGAGGTAGTGGCCATTCGCCACAGGGTCATCTACCTCCCGAGGTCCGCTGACGACCTGGCGGCCGTAACTCGGGGGTTTGCAGGGCTGGCTAGGCACCGCTCTTTTCTCAAAGCTGCCGGTGCAATCGACGGCTGCCATGTCAGAATTAAGCCACCAAGCGGTCCTGATGGTCACTGCTACATAAACAGGAAACTGTTTGCATCAGTCATTATGCAAGCAGTCTGTGACCATCAGGGCCGCTTTATTGACACCTACGTGGGCTGGCCGGGGTCTGTGCATGACGCAAGGGTACTCCGGCACAGCCCACTGTACAGGCAGAACATCTACCCTCCTCCAGGGCATTTCATTCTGGCAGACAGCGGGTACCCATGCCTCCAGCACCCACTCCCCCTCATCACTCCCTACAGGCTGCAGGTGCGAGGTGTGGCGGCCCAGCGCTTTAACGGGCATCATGCCAGGGCACGCTCTATAATTGAGCGTGCCTTTGGCATGATGAAGACCCGATTTCGAGCCATCTTTTTTAAAGCGCTGGAGATCCGCCACACCTTCGTGCCACAGGTACGTCATCCCTGCACACAATATTTTTGTTATACTTGAATATATATAAATTAATGAATTAAATAAAAAAAACCACGAAAACTTATTATATATTATTATACTTATATTGTTATATTTTTTTATTTATTAAAGGTCTACATACTTTATGTTCATATAAATATTCCTCTAAAATTCAGGTCATCACCGCTTGTGCCGTCCTGCACAATATCTGCCTGGGTGCCGGTGACATCATGGCACCAGAGGAAGATGTGCAGGACGGCATGCCGGGGGATGAGGTGGAGGACAGGCTGGAGGCAGTCAGTGGTGCCCGCTGGCGGGACAGATTGTCCGCAGAGGTGTCGGCCCTGGAGGAGGTAGACCACGACCACGTCTACCTGTAATCGGCAAGTACAATTCATCTAAAGTTTCTCCTCTGTGTGCCACAGAATGTTTGTTGGTTACTGATCAGCTTTTTAGACCTCAGAAGATGCGACTTAAAAATTGTTGGACTCTGTTAGCCTACTATTGTTTCTCTCTTTAAAACAGGCATGGCAGCCGTCGAACCAGCCCTGCAAACCCGGACGATGTGGAGGACAGTGGAGACATGCATCCAAAACACCCAGACCACCCACATGATGTCCCACTGCCAGCAGACACCAGAGTCTCTATTGTGGTGTCCCATCCAGCCCAGCAGCACTGCCAGAGACTCCTGCTCAGCCTGGAGGAGGCACCATGGGAGGGCAGGCAATAGCCCAGATGTCCTGAGTTTGTTAAGTTCTGTTTATACAGTGGTGCCTGTTTGAGTTAGCGTTTTGTCAATGTTTAAATCCGCCAAGGAGGTTATGTTTTTGGTAGCGTTGGTTTGTTTATTTGTTTGTCTGTTAGCAACTTTACGGAGAAACTTACAGACGGATTGACCTGAAATTTTCACCAGAGGTGCGTCTCAGCCCCAGGAGGATCCCATTACATTTTGGTGGTGATCCGGATCGCCTTCTGGATTGTTAGAGTAATGTGTATAAAAGTTTATAGAAATAATCAGTAGCTTTAAATGCCTTTACCTTTTGCTTCCTAACACATGAGCAGACACTTGTGTGTTTTTCTTACAT